TTGCAGCTGCTTCCTGAAAAGCCTTGCAACTGCTTCCTTTCTTCTATAAATAGAGGAGTTTTCGGTTCATTAAAAACATAAGTTTGAAAGTTGAATAGTATATCAGTTTCTCTCTATACTTGTCTTTACTTTACGGTATTTATTTTATAACAAATTTGAAGTTTTTATTTTACTCTTTAAGATATATTTTTATAGTCATAAAAATGTCAAGATAGATTTAATACTACATAAGTGTCAAGAAGTACCTTTTCCCCTAATTTTAAGAGATTTTTATACAAATAGACGACTAAATTGTTTACTTTTTTTAGCTGGTACACATAAATTATGTCTTTGATTATATACGTATACATATATTATACATTAACGGCTCTTTTTAGTTTAAGCGTTTAAGTGAGCGTCTATTTAGGTTCACATCCACCCTGGACCTAGCCCCATCAAAGCCAAAAATGAAAATAATAAACTAGCTAAAAACAGAGTGACAACCAATAGAGATGAAAAAAGGAGTATGTCAGCATATATCTTGACATTCCGTGATCACCTATTACATCATTCGTTCTATAATTTACCTCTATAAAAACCTCTTATTCTTCTCTCTCTTTATTCATTCATATCAACAAACAAACCATTAATAAAAAGAGTGATAGAAAGAAAACAAAAGAGAGAATATTATGGCATCAAGAAATGTTCAGAGTAAAATGGTTGCCCGTAGAAAGCTTCATTATTTACGAACTCTTACCAACTCCAAATCAGTAATACTAATATTCTTCTTTAGCTTTTCTCATCAAATTGAATTCAATGTTTTGATTTATTTTATACCCTCTTTTTTCCTTTAATCTCTTTAAATTTTCAAAATAATGGAGTACCAAAAAAATAGTAAAGAAACTGCTTAATCGTTTTTTTCTTTTTTTTTTGAAGGTGAAAAAGAGCTCTATCATCTTTGATGCCTTCGTTTACATTCTCAAGCTGAGACTCCAGCTAGAAGCCATCCAAAGAGAGTATCACCACCTCTTAAACCATGTTCAAGTACTCTCTCTCTCTTTACTTTTTTACTTCCTCCATTTCATTTATTTGAGCAGCGTTTTGACTGGACAAAGAGTTTAAAAAGACTTATCGCACATACAAGAAATACCTTTACAACTTATGGTATTAGATATATCATGACATTTTTATCGCTAGAAGTAACATATCATTTAACGACAAAACGAAAAATTTAACATTAAAATATTTTAAAATATAGAAAGATGTTAGTTTTTTTAGAACAGACCAAAAAGAAAAATCGAATATTTTTTTATAAAATGAAAATACTTAAAAGTACCTTTGCAATTTGTGATGTTATAACTAGAGCATGTTATTTGAGGACAAAATAGGAAGTTTTGAGTTAAGATATAGTTGAGCTGAGGTCTATCCGAAACAACCTCTCTACCTTCACAAGATAGGGGTAAGGTTTGCATACTCACTACTCTTCCTAGTGTGGGATTACACTGATTTTATTTTGTTATTATTGTTGTTATTTTTAAATATAGAAAGGTGTCAGTCTTACGAAAGAATTGTGTGATTTTTTCTTATAATAGGAAGTGAAGGTGGAGAAGTTAATTGGGAAAAGATTTGTGGTGAAAGTGACTTGCAAAAAGGGCAAAGAAATGCTAGTTTCAATTTTAGAGGCTTTTGAAGAGATGAAACTGAATGTTGTTCAAGCTAGGGTTACCAGCAGGTACTTCTTTGGAATGGAAGCAATTGTAGAAACTGAAGATGAAGCTTTGGATGTAAGAGCTATGACTAAAGCAGTTCAATTGGCAATCCAGAAGAAGTAAAGTCTAGAGATACAAAAGTGAATCTTTAAGTAATATTCTTGTTTGGAGCAGAGACGGAACTAGGATATAAAGTTTATAAGTTCTGAATTTGCTAACTAACTCTGCTCCTAGTTGGGAGAAGTGTACCTCTAACTTTTGTTTTCCTTTTATTATCCTTGTAGCTAGATGTTCATGTAATGAAGAAAAAAATTATCACTTTCGTTTTGTTATCCATAAGGTATGAAAGTGAAAGAGAAAAGCCAAATTATGAAGTTGGATATTACGATAAATTTGAGCTCTTTTTTAGTTTGTCGTAACTACGTGACGGATAAACAAAATTTCAACTGTTTTTCAAATAAAATATATATCCAAATATAACTTTAACTTTTAAAAATTATTTTTTAACACAACTTCAAAAACTCTTTTTTCAAGTTTCAATCAAATTTATGTCTAAACGCTAGCTAAGAATATATCTTCAACGGAATGATATTTCTTCACAAACCTTGTACGTTGTTATAATTGATATTACTTATTAAATATCTTTTCGTACCAAGGTCATGTTAATTATTACACGCCTCATTAGTTAATGTTGTCTAAATTTGAGATTCTTGACATTAAGTAATCAAAGCAAGTTGGAAGAAATAAGTGAAACTTATCGAAAACCAAAAGCATTTTGAAACTTTATTAGGGTTTTTTTCATTTTTAACCCGCGCCAGAAACTATGTATATTCAGTAACTGAAAAAGTATATAAAATTTATATATTTTTTGTATATAACATACAGAATGTGTGTGTACAAAAAATATATATATTTCGGCTATTATTTGAAAGAGGCTATACAGTATTATTTTTTCCAACTGTATTCGGAGTCTGGAGAGAGCATTGAAAAATGGGCTTTTTTCACTTTTAGCGCCAAAAACTATTTACATTGGGTATTCAAAAAAGTATATAAAATTTATATAATTTTTATATATAACATACATAATGTATATATATACAAAAACTATACAAAAAATATATATTTTTCGGCTATTATTTTGAGAGCGGTTATACAGTATCATTTTCCCTTTGAAATGTTTTGGAAGAAGACTCAAACATATATATATTGAAGAAGTCAAGAGTGAAGAATAACATTTGTAGACCCTTTTTCAATTTCAATGCTCATAATTCAAGTTCAACTTATTTAAGACAACACGACCAAATAAGGAAAAAAAAAATGTATTTTTCCTTTCCAGTTTGACAATTTTGTAGCAGGAAAGGTTTATTGATCTTCTACGTGTTGGAAAATCGCTTAGCTAAATAATAGCGACATTTCATTTGTTTTAATTCATTATAAGCCGATAATATAATATCGACCGCAACACGCTATGTTGTTTTATAGTACTATTGATGTTTCAAGTTTCAACTAACGAAAACATTATCACATTTTGTTAATTTTTAGCTTGATGTGTTGATAGCTCAACTTACTGATTCGAGCAGTGAAAGCATGCACTAATGCTTGTATTATGATAGGATGTCTATATCACACCTTTGGAGTACGACCAGTGGCGGAGCCACATTCAATCAAGGGGTGTCTCGACATCCCTTCGTCGGAAAATTATATTATATTATTAGATAAATTTTTATGTATATTTACTATATGTTGACTCCCATAAACTTTTCGATGTATCTTTTTTTTTAATACCCTTTTGGTAAAAATTCTGACTCCGCCACTGAGTACGACCCTTCTCCAAACCTTGCATAAATGCAGAATATTTTATGCTCCGTACGGACCTTTTATGTGTTGGCACTCCGTAGTGAAAGAATGATCTCATATTCCCACTTACGATTTAAATATAAAAAGATATCTCTAGCCAAATTACCAATATTACTTTAAGCAAATCTTTTGTGTTATTTCTTATTCTTATTGATCTTTTGTGAAAAAGATCACAAAACTAAAATATCATTTTTATGCATTACAAAACCAAATCTCTTGGGTGAGCACGTTACTTTTGGTTCTCCCCTTGGAAAATCCAGACACAAAATATGGGCAATTAGGTTCTTTAATTTAGTTTTTAACTTTTTGTGATTTAGATTTAAAATTATTTAGGAAGTAGTGCTATTTATTTTATATTCATTGAGTCATTTTGTTTGTTGATTTAAGCATTTCTACATAAGCATATCCTAATGGGTTCATTAGGTAGATATACAGTACTTGATATAAATTTGCGTTATATATATAAAAAGAAAATTAGTTGAGTTAATTTCTATTAAAAAATGTCGCAAATAGTAAATGATAAATATAAGTTCTTATACTAACTATTGTACTTTGTCACAACAATAATTCTGGACCAATTTATGATTAGACGTATACTCAGGGGGCGGCCCAATGGTAAAGCCACTCAAGCAACTGCTTGAGACCCCATATTTAGGGGGGCCCAAAATTTTTTAATATTAAATAGATATATTTGATGATTTTAAAAACATATATTTAGTATATCAAAGAAAAAGTACATATTTCATAAAAAAGGAAAATATGGGACCGTTAGAGATAATTTTTGGAATAATAATAGTAACTTTTGGGATTTACCCTTAAACATTACATGTGAATATGTTTCTTGCCTCTTTTATACACTATTATTATAATTATCACATGGCTCATATTACTTTTATTACTTTCTCTTCAAATTGATTTTTACTAAATCTTTTATATTCCTTTTAGCCTCTCCAGAATTACAAGTCTACTATCTCATAAAATATTCTGCCAAAACGATAGCTGAAAGCAAGTGCGGACTCTCTTTTTTGTCAAGCTTGGGCATTGCACCAAAAATATTGAAGCATCAAAAGTAATATCAAGTTATCTATGTTTGTTAAACCAGGTTTAATTGTTCTATACTTTTCTTATTATTTTGCATCTAAATTTTGTTATTTTTTG